GCTAGATCATGATGGGCTTTGATGATGAACTTGATTGGTTTTTTTTTTCTAAAAATTAATTGGGAGCCATTAAAGAATGCTGTGTTGGGTATAAAACAGTTCCATTTGCACTTTAAAAATACCTTTCTGAAATGCAAATTACAACTGCTTTGAGATTCAGCCTCTCCCCAGCCAGAATGGCTATCCTGAAAAATCAATTGCCGGCACTGCTGCGGGGCTGGGAGCAGCGTGCCCTTCTTCACTCCAGGTTGGAGTGTAAACTGGTGCAGCACTGTGGAAATCAGTCTGAAGGTTTCTCCGAAAGCTAGAAGTAGGACTCCTGTGTTACCCAACTGCAGCACTCCTGGGCATATACCCAAAAAACTCCAAGGTCTACAACGGAGGCATTTACACATCCGTGTTTGCTGCTGCACTGTTCATAACAGGTAGGAACCGGACCGGCCTAGACATCTGTCAACGGGTGAACGGGTAAAGGAAATGTGCTGTATATCCACAGTGAAATCCGACTCCGTCTCAAAGAAAAATGAAATCACGACATTTGCAGGAAAGTGGATGCAACCGCAAATTATCCTGCGAAGCTAAGAAACTCAGACTCAGACAAGCACCACATTCTCTCTCATCTACAGATCCGAGATTTAAATGTTTATATATGGGAATGTATTTTGGTGGGAATGGGGGTCTGGGATATGAAACCACAAAGAGGACCGTGAAAAAGGGAAAAGAAGTCGGGAAGTCGGGGGGTAGGGGTGGGGGCTAGTGCACCGAACACACGTGCCAGGGAAGCAGAAGGGGAAAGGAAAGGGGCAGCAGGGGAAGAAGGGGAGGGAGTGGACTGGGGACAAAGTATCAGCCAAAAAGAAAAGAGGTGTGAGACCCATCCTGTGTTAGTGAAAACTATCCTCTGTCGAGGTTTCTAAAGAAACTCTCCCTCGGGGAACCTGTCGCAGTCAAAGTTTGCCTGTAATGGAGCTTACATCTCAGAATGTGTCTGAGGAGTCACCCAAACCACATCCTTACTGTAGAGATGAAAACTTACTTACGGGGGTGCAATAATGGATCCATTTGTTAAAGGAAACAAAATCCTGCCCTGAAACCCAGTCTTCCCGGGCCCCAGTGCCATCTGCCACTTTGCTCGTATCTCTGTCCCCCAGGATGGTCAAGGTGGTCCCTGAGCCCGTCCTCCTCAATGGCTAAAGGCATCTGCAAATGTCTAGTGCCGAGGGAATCTGCTCTGCGATCACAAGAAACATTCTAACTGGCCCCGTACATTTTCTCTCATAGCGATTAGAAGCTTAACCCCTTTTTAAGCCAGAGCTTAATCCTGAGTGTCTAATACTATTTAAATTACAACTCGCAAATCTTAAACTGCCTAGAGTCCAAATGCTACTACTCTAAATCTGCGTGTCGCATGAGCATGAACGTGACAGAAGGGCCAGGCAGCAACCTTGGCCGTATGTTTGTGCTGTATACTCTGCACTCTCGGTCCTCTGACAAATAAACCGGTCATGCTTCCAACTCAGTGACCTCAAACAAATCTGTAGGGCTACATCATGTCCACAGAGTATCACAATCTTGTGACCCACATGCTAACTCCTTCCGATGACCCCTGCAAGCCAGCCTTATAGACAAGCAAGCTGCATAGTCACCAGCACAGACGGAGCACGCCGTTGGCTTATGATTCCTGAAATAAATTCTCTAAGATAAGGAGATTTGGTGGATTAAAACATTGTGGGCAGATTCGATCACCATGTAGTGACAGCTTAAGGCAATTTTCTTAACCAGGAACCCATAAAATGTCACTTGTTTCTGAAAGGGCAAATAGCGACAGCAGAAGACAGTGGTGTCTGGGAGAATCCCAGACTACATGTGTGCTGAAAATCAATTCCATTCCATACAAAAATTCAAATGCATGCAGAGCCATTAACACTAACAGGCAATGTTACCAGATTTCCACACATTCATTTCAACCCTCGGGCAGCCTGCACACTTATCCTCACCTCATAAAAGGGCACGAGGGAGGAAAATATACCCATTCACGCTCACTCCCTTAGTGACGGAAGACCCTAGATGTTCTGCATTCCCAGACCCTAACTGTGGACTGGCACTGGGCAGAGAGCTTGAGATAAAACATAGAAATGGGAAGGAATGCCAGTGCATGCCTGGGCCATGGCCACGCAGGGGTCCCCAGAAAGAATGAAGAGCTGGCATTAGGCTGAGCCTTCACTGAAGAAACCTAAGCAGAAGCCCCACCCTTCTTGTTGATGGGCAGGCTCACAGTAACTCTTGCTTAGATCCCAGAAGGAGCCAGTGGCTGACCTAAGTGATCATGTCCATTCACAGGCCTGGAGCTCAAACTTCCTTCCTCTCCTGTTGCTCACTATGTGTGTCTTTATTGAAGGCAGCTTTTTCCGTGAAGAAGAAAGAGAAACTCTGAAATTGTCTCATAACCCATCACTAGAGTAAAAAATTGAATACAAGTCTTACCACAATGTTGCTTCTCTAGTTTTCAGAACTAGCACTCTTTAGATGATCTTAATCAACCCAGCATCCGAAAAACCCAAAGTACATCTTGTTCAAGGCGAGCAAGGTGTGCTGAATTTTTATAATGATTTAAAATCACTTCTAAATGGCCTATTAAAGGGAGGCCCTTGGGTAAGGTTTCATGGGCTCTACAGTGACAGCCTTGCCTGAGCACGGTAGCCTGTGGCTGAGCTCCTGCCTGGACCATGGTGAGCCCCCAGGAGTAAAGCCCTCCAGAAGTCAAGAGGGATGAAGAAAAGGCACAAGGCTTTCCTTGTGCTCACTCCAGATGTGTTCACCGAGAGCCAGAGCCTGTGAGAAGCAAGTGGGGGTTCTATAGAGATGCCATCTGCTGTGTGATATTCCAGATTATAAACTTAACCCTTAATTCCTGCATCCCCAGCTGCTGAGCCCTTTCCTGCTTTGAGTTAGGAGGGAAGTCGCGTTGACAGAATCCAAGGGTGTGCCTGTTAAGCATCGTGGTGATCCCAGCATCGCAGCCCATGAGTTCTGTAGAACAGGTCATTTCTAGCTACATTTGGAAGTAAGCACCACTTGCATGCGTAGTGGCTGCTGTCGGACATGAAATCACAGTCACCCAGAGCAAGCCGGCTTTTTCTAAAAGTCTACTCCATTTACAAATAATCTCTTAAAAAGAAGGAGCCGAAAATGAGAAGCAGACTGATTCCTCAAGTGGACAAAGGTTTCTTTTTCAGAACACGGTTAAAACACAAGGAAAGCGTGAGACACTAGTTTCCACCGAAATAACCAAAAGCAGCTTGGGGCAAATACAAGAGAGATTCCCGTCTTAAGCAAGAAAAGCGTATCTGAGACGTCCTCGCTCCCCTAGCTGTCGACCTGAAACAGCCTAGCTTTTAATACATGTTTAACAAATGCAACACAGCTCCACTGAGGTTGATTTGAATTCACAAAATATTTTTTATTGTAAGAAAGCATACAAGCAGCAGAGCTGAGAAAACATTCGAAATACAGAATGACACAGACCCGAGGCAGGAGCTGCTGACAGCAAGCTCTTCCCTTTTCATCAGTCCGGTCCACATGGAACCAACTGCTTAGCTAGAACACCTGTAAACATTTCAGAAAGGAAACTGTTGCATGCCCCACATGAGTTCGCATCCCCACATGAGGGGACTTGATGGTACTTTTTGCAGTCCAGGCTGTGACATGGAAACCAGATTCAAAAGCACAGAGGAAAAAAAAAAATAGCGTTTGTGACTAGGGATGCTGATGGCTCTGGAGTGCTCAAGACACAGGGGAAGGGCCTCTTCTGGTCCTCCCACCAGCAGAAGCATCTTATGTGACGATGGGGCACCATTCATTAGCTAGCTTCCCACCAACATTGAAGAGCTTTTTTGAAAAGGGGATACTAAATTCAGATTAAATCTCTACAAAAGTAGCCCCTTGAGCAGCCGGCTTAGTTAGACACGAGCAGCTGAAGAACCAGTGATGAACGCTTCCTAGCAGAGGGGCGGCTGTGACCCATGAAATTACAGCTCATGCCCGCTGCAGATCTTAATCCTGGACAGCCATTTGCTTGTTTCAGAAAGCTATTTCAAGCATGAAATGAGGAACGACAGGGAGGGCCAATTATTTTACATAAATACAAAGTGGCATATGCTCTTCCTACCATCCAAAGACAGAAATGAAAAGTTGTATCCTTCTTGAGCTGGCTTTTACACAGATATTTACAGAAGTGCAAATTCACCCCGGGAAAGCCTCTGCCTTTTAAGACACTCAGAACACAATAGTAGTTTCTTTTTTAAAAAAAAAAAATCTTTTCAAAATATTTTTAGGGTCAGGAGCATTGGTAGCATTAGTCACTTCTCATCTTGTATGTATTTGTGTCCATGTGGAGTTAAGCAGCCACCGCATCAGTCTCTGCTGTGTTTTCTAGAAGCAATTCACAACTCAGAATCTCGGAGTCTGTGTCTTTGTTTCACGGGCTCATAAAGTGCTAGTTCAATGGACTGTTCAGTCACGGAACACACTGGTTTGTTCTATTAAATATGATAAATATAGATTCACTATGACAAATTTAAAATATCCATATAATGCAATAAATAAATAAATAAATAATAAATAAAACCATTACCAACAGAACATCTGTCAACCCTGAAAAAGAGAAATTCCACTCTTGCTGTAAGGCTCGATTATTATTGGAGAAATAATTAACGAAGGCATGCACCTACCTTTACAATCTGAAAACTGCTCGGACAGTTTTAGCACCTGTTTGGACACAGCAAACTCAACTCTCTCATTTCCTTCCTAGGAAAGTTTGATTTCTAAGTGAAGCTGTTTACGGTTCACTCTTTACTCTAGCTTTTTTTTTTTTTTTGTAACATCCTAGAGACAATAAGTTTCAAAAATGATTTCAGAGCCAAAGTCAGTTCCCCTGCGGCTCTTGGCGTGTCCCTAGAAAACACACTGGAAGCGATGCATTTGGAAAGTTTCGCAATTGTTCAGAAGCAGCAGAGGGAATCTCACGGTGGCTCACAGTCCCACCCGGGCCGTAATTCCTTAAGAGCAAGCTCGAGGGAAATCCTAGCTTCAGAGATGAGGACCCAGAATTCAGGTCGGGTGCTGTCCACTGTGTGTGACAGGTTGGATCTTCTCTAGAGAGACATCGGTGTCATAATCCAATATGACGGATAAGGCCGGGGACAGTTTCTCCAGAGGTTTAGCTATTCCACCTGCCTCCTCCTTCTTCAGATCCTCGGAGGAACCCACGGCATGAGGGATCAGGTAAACCAGATTGCAATCCTTGGAGATGGAGCCCCGAGGCTCGTGGTGGCTGGAAAACACAGCCCCGTTGTTGTTGATGCTAACTGTCTCTATGGCATTATTCGTCGTAGGACAGAGTCTATAGCATCCTAAGAGGGTTGAGAATGCCTTTTGGAAATCAGCATTAAAGGCGTAGATAATGGGGTTCAAGGAAGAATTTGCCCACCCAAACCACACAAACACATCAAAGGTGATGGAATCAATGCAAAAGGGCTGAGTCTCCTCAGAGCCACAGAAGGGGACCATGCAGTTCGAGATGAAGAAGGGGAGCCAGCAGCACACGAACACCCCCATGATCACCGACAGGGTCTTCAGCACTTTAGTCTCTCTCTTGAAGGACATCTTAAAGGAACTTTCTGATTGAGAGCATTCCGCGGGGTTGCCATTACCCGTGGTGGTCTGGCAATTCTTGGCATGGACCGCTGCCCTCTCCAAGGCTGAGATGCGCCGGATTTGTTTCTGGGCAATCCTGTAGATACTGGTGTAGGTGACGATCATAATGGCTACGGGGATGTAAAAGCTTATGAGGGAGGATGAAATGGCATACGTCCTGCTCAACCTGGTGTCACAGTTGGCATCCTCGGTGTCTTCCAGGAAAGTGGCATTGTCATCCAAGGGCCACGTAGGTTTTGCCTTGTGCCAGCTTAACTGCACTGGGATAAAGGAGATGAGGACAGACAGAGTCCAGGCTACGCTGATCAAAATGAAGGCTGCCTTGGGGGTCATCTTCCTCTCATACTGGAAAGGGCTGGAAATAGCCCAGTACCTGTCCACGCTGATCACACAGAGGTTAAGGATGGATGCGGTGGAGCACATGATGTCAAAGGCTACCCAAATGTTGCAAAAGGACCCAAAGGGCCAAAAGCCAGCAATCTCAGCCACGGCTTTCCAGGGCATGACCAAGACGGCCACCAAGAGATCTGACACAGCTAGAGAGATGACAAAGAAGTTGGTCACCTTGGACCGCAGGTGTCGAAACCTGATGACAGCCGCACAGACGAGGGTATTCCCCAGGAGAGTGGACAGGATGAGCAGGGACAGGAAACAGGCCGTAAGGATTCGAAAGGAGAAATCCCTCTCCACGGCCAGCCCGGCTCCATCCATGGTAGAAGTGTTCAGAGCCATCTTCCAGACAGACAGCACTTCTGGGTGGCTTGGCCCTTGTGTTCTTGAGCAGGCTTAGCCAGACTTCCTCTGGTCACTCACCAGGCAGCGGCCCCTTGCCCAGCCCCAATGACTGCCCGGACTAAAGGACAGAGGTGTTCGATCAGGAGCTTCCCTGTAGCAACCCAAGCCATGCCGGGAAAAGGACCTTCTTGCTTTCCATCTGTCTTCTGGGTTCCGTGCTCCAGGTCGCTCTCCCGGGCATTGGCTGATCCCTAGATTCCCCAAGGATAGCACCGGCTTTTCAGCATATACTAAGCCTTTAACTCGAGAATCTGCGGCCTCTTCCTGGTCAATTATAGTCACTTTTCAGGGTTGCTGTCTCTTACTCCGAGACACAGCCTAAAATACATGTATTTCTCCCCCAAGTCCCTGGAGCCCCATGTATCACGATGCCCTAAAAAGCAAAGGAAAATACAAAGCCGGTCACCAAGATGATATACAGCTCGCATGTTTAGCAACGTTAAATACCAGCTCATCAATTCCTGGGCAAGTCTGTCAAGATCACCTACCTTGCTTTGGGGTCGCCTCTCCCAAAACCCCTGGAGCTCCCAAAGTGAGTCCAGGCGGCCTAGCAAGTGGTTCCCCTGCTGATGCACAAAAAATTCTCTGGGCTGGATTTGGGTAAGGAATCCCAGACCAGGTACGCAGGAAGCTGCGCCCTCCTGCTACCTTGGCCACCTACACATCGCTGCCCCGGGGGCTCTCAGAGAGTCACCACCAGGGCTGGGACAGCTTTCTGTTTTGTCTGAGGGAACCCAGTGCTTGGCTCCCTTAGGCTCCTGGGTCTTAGGGCAGGACCCCCGAGCCTCCCCGTGGCGCACCCCATCAACAGTGGCAAGAGCTGCAGGTAGGCAAGGGCACGGGCCACCCCGCCTCTGCATCCCCTCCTGGCCTTGGGGATGGGCTCAGCTTGACAGGCAGAGTGGCGGGCTACAGCCACACGTGGTTCCCTGATGGCGCAGCTGGAGCAGAGCTATGGGACGCCTACGTGATCGCTTTGCCTCCTCTGGCTACCTCGCCCACCCTGGGAACCCCGGATCAAGACAGAACCCATGGGACAAACCCTGACGTTCAAATCTTTAGTAAGCCGAACTTGGGTCCCTGCACTCAGCGTCTCTTCAGATCAACCCCAAGTTCCACCCAAAGTTCGGGGTTAAAGCGGACGCTGCCCACACCCACGCCTCGCAAGCCCCGGACAGCTGCCCGCTTCAGTCACTGCGCTGTCTCCGAGTGCCCCGCAACTGGGGTACGAGGAGCCCCGGGACACGGGTGCTTACCGCTCCGGGAGGCCACGCTCCGCAACTCTGCCAACCCTGCGCCAGCTCCCGGGCCGCTCGCTGCGTGCTCCGCCCGCCGAGGCGCTTCTACGGTCAACTCACGAGTGCAGCCCGTGACCCGCGCCCCGCAAGCACCCCGAACGCCGTGCCACATGCTCTGCGGGAATCTGGCGCCCTCTGCCGGCGCCTATGGTTTCCTGCACCCCGCCTGCGCCCTAACTGGAGCAGATCACAGAGATGTCAGCCTATGGTATCCCCAAGATTCAGGGCTTAGACACTGCTTTTCCCTGTCCCCAACTACCAGAATCTGAAAGACTAGAGGCACGGTCTTCCACATTCTGAGCTCCTTCACTTGAAATACCACTAAAACTTACAAGAGCAGGAAGTCCCTTCAGCTAGCATGTTATTCACTGAGCCAGGATTTCGCCTTTGTGCCCACTGTGTGCCGGGGTTGGAGCAGTAATGAACAATGTGTCATCTTACTCTGCAAGTAAACAGAGACCTGGCATAAATTCAAAAGCCTCTGTGCCCCCCCCACAAACACACACACACACACACACACACACACACACACACGTGTGCACACATTCTATGACATTGAACGTCTGGCAAAACTCCTTCCTCACAGGCCTGCACATCTCTAGCTCAACTGTGGAAAACGATGCTCAGAAATGTGTGGGGCTTGTTCAAAGTTAACACATCAGCTAGCGAGCATAGTGACCTGTCCGCCTGACCTCCGCTTGCATGTTCTTCAACACGACCACGTCTAGTATGTAATCCATAATCTGAACAATTACCACAAGGGCAAAGTGGAGACGGGAATGCCTGGCCCCAGGAAATGTGTCAGAGCATGGAGGGGACATTAAAGAGTCTTCCTGTCTCTGTGAAAAGAGATGAACCATGGAACCCGGAGGTCACTCTGCCTGGATTCTCATCCTTACTGATGAGGGCTGCTCTAAGTATTAAATGAGATGCTTATTCCAGAAGGCTTGGGGCACCAGATACAGACCTAGACAAGGATGTCATGGGCAGAAATCCTTCTGGGATCATTTTTAAAAAAAAAATAGTCCTGTCTCCATGAGAACCACACACCCCAGTGAATGCCAACATTTTCTCTAAGTTATCTAAACAGCCATCCTAATTAGCCAGCAGAAATCTGATCTTGGGCTTAGGTGCAGTACCCATATGATTGACACAGATGCTCCTCCACCTGGGCACATAGTTCTGTCCTCCCTCCAGTATCCTTGCTGCCACACACCAAGTTCCACGGGCTAGCCATCAGAAAGATGCCCCAAGAACCCCTTTAGAGCAGCGGTTCTCAACCTGTCGGTCGCGATCTCCACAGGGGTCACATATCAGACATCCTGCATGTCAGATATTTACATTACAATTTATAACAGTAGCAAAGTGAGTTATGAAGTAGCAACGAACTGACTTTATGGTTGGGGGGGTCACCACAACATAAGGAACTGTATTAAAGAGCCGCGGTGTCAGGAAGATTGAGAACCATTTGCCTTATAAAGCCTTAAGCCAGCACAGTGCAGCATCCCCCCCAACTTTCAGCCCCCGGACAGTCACTCTCAAAGCAACTGGAAATTCAGTTCACTATACTTTCTTCCCTTCTTATCAGTACACACAGATTAAGGGACGTTTCTCGTCCAAGACAGTCGGGTGAGTCTGAAACTGTGAAACTCCTCACACTCTGCCTACCCCGCCACTGTCTGGAATGAGCAAGATAAGGGCACCTTTGACAGAACAGGAAGCGTTGGGGTCCTTTAGGGCAGGATTGAGGAGCATGCTCGAAGAGGAAGAACTCCTTAGGGAGGGAAGGAGCTCCTGTAGCTAGCACTTGCAGAAGAGACGGCAGGCAGTACAGTGATGCTCTGGGTGGGGGGGGGGGGGCACAGTGACACTCCTTCGGAGGGGAGGCTCTACAGTAACATTCCTAAGAGTATAGCAACAGAAGCTGGAGATGGCAATGGGGACACTCTGAGGGGTAAAACTTCCCTTTAGGGCTGCCCTTGAGAGGCGCTCCCAAGTCAACAACCCTGGAAATGATCACTGCTCTTTAAATGAAAAGTAGAGTGACAACCATAACAAGACTCTCAGGGGGCATCGCATTGCCTGCAACACCAGTCCCCGGCAAAAGCATTCACGTAAACCGGGAAGAAAGGCTGGTCATGGTGCACTGGGCAACCATGGTTTCTTTCAACACTGGCAGCTGTTCAGAGAGATCTCTGTTCTAAAATGTCTCTGAGTTATTAAAACCAGCCCAACCCTGTGTCGGGTGTCACTTTGGTCATGGTAACGCCCTACCCACAAGAAAATGTCGGCCATTTTCCATGTCAAAGCATCAAAATGTCTCCTTTTCTATATCAAAGCCAGCGAACAGAAGATGCCTGGGAAGAGCAGAGAAGGAAGAGAAGAGGCAATGTGTTCCTGAAGGGGTGATATGTTCCTCGTAGCAGGAAACAAGAGTGTTGGATTATTCCCCTATGGTTCTGTAACTCAGAAACAGAAACCCAGGACCCTTTCCTGCCGGCTCAGCTCACTGACTTGTGAATGCAATCACTAGAACAGGGAAGAATAAAGGGTAGCTTGAATCTCAGGGTTTCACCGTGCAAGGTGTGATTGTCAGAGGATCCCAAAGTTTGCCTAGAGATTTGGGTTTTTTATTTTGTTTTGTTTTGCTTTGTTCCCCACCTGCCCCCCTTGGAGTCAGAGCGAAGCAAAGCTTCCATTTTGATCTTTAAAAAATCTCCCTACAAACAGTAAGAACATGAATATAAATGCACGCAGATATTAGCATTTGATCTTGCTGGGAATGTAGACACTAACACAAAAGCATCTTTGTCTCCTAAATCAGCATGTCTTTGAAGCTATACTGTGATTTATGCATGGTGAGGAAGTAGAGATTAAATAATAACTTTTTTATTTGGGGAATGTACAGGTCAGTGGATACAGAAGGCACTGTCCAGACACCTGTACTGACGAGTGTTCTCACGGGATGTATGCAGGCAGCTTTGGGATTATTAAAAGTGGCTTTATACCTAAAATGATCGCTTACAATGCTATCAAGAGAGTAGATGGCTTGGTCATCAGCAAGTAACTAGAATGCTTGTTACATACAACGACACCGGGATCCGTAGTCCCTAGTCTGTTTTCTGCTTCCGTGACTATCAGATAGCTTTAAATCAGTACACATCCCTTTGGGTAGGTTTTTGCAGCTAGAGTGCATATTGTTTGTTATGGTTATTTCGTTCTTTTTTTCTCTTTCAGAGGCTTAGCTAAGGTTTGGTTTTGGTTTTGGAGGTGCCGGGGACTGAACCTAAGACCTCTCACACGCTAGGCAAGTAAACTCCAGCTGAGCCACATTCCAAACCTGAGTTGTTGTATAATGTCACTGCATCTCCTTTATCATTTTATTTTTATAAGCTATTATATGTCTGTGATACCTTCTGAGTCTGCATCATAGAGATGCAGAAATCCATCTTCTAACAGCCTACACCCAATTGACAGGTTAGCCCATAGATACAAAAGGGCGTTATAATGGCGTTCGTCCAGGTCTCCGCAAACATTTATACCTCAAAAGTTGGACTTTTTTAACTCCAAGAGTCCTAGAGTTACCCACAAAAAGCCTGATTATTTCAGATCTTGCATTGAAGACTTACTGAATAGAAG